TATATATATGTGCACATACATACATACATACATACATACATACATACATATATATATATATGGTATATATATCTATATATCTATATATATATATATATTCGCCGTATCTGTCTACGCATATCTCCACATATATATATATATATTTGTTAATTTGAATACAGACATACCTGGCTGGACCTAGCCCCAGCCACAAGCACAGGCAGCTACCCAATTGTCCGAATGCTGCAAAACGGCTCTCACACACATACACAACCCGAGGCGAAGGTCTTCACACAAGTCAGTCGGTCTGTCGTCTCAGGGCACGGCCGTTGTAGGCGCTGAGCTGCGAGGCCGACAGCTTCTCCAGCATCTTTGACACGGGGTACGGCTTGATCTGCAGGGTACGTGGCGACGTCTAGCGCAGCAAGGGCTGCGTATACTCCCGGAAGCCCTGCATACACAGGCAAGAATCCACAAAGACTCCCCCGTAAGTCGAGGGGCATCGATGCAGGCCATCTTCGGATTGCAGAGCAACCGGTCAAAGGACTTGTGCAGAGCTGCCTTGTATCCTGACGATCAATTCTCTCGAACAAAGGATCTAAAAGACCGGCGCCGCCGGTGCCTTCCTTCATCCCATAAGGAAGGCGGCAATTCGAAGCCTAGTTGCTTTTGTAGCCCTTGTCTGCTTGCATCTTCATTACCTTGGCGCTTTGGCACGATAGGGCACCAAACGGTCGTATAAATGGTGAAGGCCAAACTATGCGACGCTGCACATGCCTTCATCAAGCACCCTTGCAGCTAGCCGAGTTGTGCTTGAATCATACACACCTGGCTGCCTAGTCGGGAGACGCACTAGCAACTCAGGTCTGCTGGCATTCAAGGAAAACGGGAGCGGGAGTGATGTCAAGGCACCCGATCCAAGCCTGCTTTGGCCAAAGCCTTCGTCTGGTAGGAGGCGTCGATGGCAAACGCCACCTGCCTTCTTCGCTCGGAAGCTGTCGGAACCATAACTCATAACTCATACGGCCATCTGCAGAACAGGAGCCCATCTCCAGCGAGTTGTGACAATCATGGGGCTACAAAGAAGGAGCGCGCCGGTCTCTATGCCAGCTTCCCCCCGTCCCGGAGAACACTGCGTAGCAATATGTAGCGCAGGTAGACACATCGACAGCCACCGACCCAGCCAAATCGTAGAAACACGAAAGAAGAATTAGTCCAACGCCCTGGATGGCCTCGGAACCTTCAGCTTCTCGTGAGACCTGGGAAGGTGGAACTCACACAGCGACTCTTCGGGGCTCGCCCTATGCTTGGTTCAGGACTTGGGCTGTGATGCAAAAGAAGCCCAGGAGCCAGACATCAAATTGTCGAAATATCACCCGAAACCCGGCGTGGTAGCTCTGCTGCAGCTTGCACACCCCGTGAAAGACACATAGCATCACACTGAGCCAGGAACAGGAGCTCTGTGCCATATCTCTCTACGCAGACCATCCTGGCAGCTAGACAGGCATCCGTAGGATTACCTGATGGGTGAATGTCCTACCGTAGAGCAGAAAGTAACTGTGGGACTTCTGAGAGCAGATATGCGTGGTATTCAGTGGCATCTGAGTCTTGCCACTGCGGATTGAATTTGCCCAGGTATTAGAAGCATGTCGTTCGACAAGACTTTCGAACCGGTGTGCATCTGTTGCAAGCTTCTCAGCTGCAGGCACAAGCTTTGTCGTAAGCGCATGGTTCTGAAGGCTTCCTTTTGAAATGTCGGGAGGCGAGAGGCGCAACACGGAAGTGGCACGCGCCTACACCCCTCGCCGACAGTTGGTATCATACGTACATATTTCGCTGACCACCACAACATTGCCGCGATGCAAGCAATCCCCCAATTTGCTGCCAGTGCATGTCTCACCATGGACGTGCTTGACTGAAGCTGCTGGGATACACTGGCATGCTGGAGTGCTTGGGTCATCCACTAGCCCCCACACATACATGGAATCACAGGCACTCCCAATTGCCAGGGACCAAATGCAGTGCTCAAGATCTCCAACGAGGCACCCCTGAGCCTGAACCCTCCTCAGAACCTTTGTCTGTACATGGGCCGAGCGGCTCGAAGGCCAAGGACATCATGCGCTTTCCTGGCCGACCGTTCCTGGCACACGCTCAAGGCTTGAAACCCACTTGGCAGGAATTGTGACTCGTGCTATTGCTAAAGAAACCAGTTGGATTGCACGCAAGTTTAGGACGTTGAGACCTCCGTTGGCGCCTGATTTCCTTCATTGCGACGCTGCGTGGCTGGCCTTTGAGCCTCCGGGGTCGCAGCACTCAGCTTTAGGCTTGTGATCGTGGCAACCTGATTCTGGATGAAGTGCGTTCTCAGTGCGTGATAATTAGAAGCTCTACCTGAACTCCCGCAGCTGGGCCTATGTGGGTTCTTGGTTCAACGACTTGGGCCTAGTGACTCGGAGGCAACACGGGCCCGGGTTGGGGTGGGCTGTTTTGTTTTTACCTACAACTGCCACCCAGAAGCATCCACTGAGATCCTGCTGGCGAACTCACGTCCTTCGCGTCAGCTATCGGCCAAACCATGACTCAAGGTGGCTGCTTGCGTCCTTCAGCACGCTGTCCCAAAAGCCACGATACTGGACATGCGCCAAAGACAGGATGTGCTTGGAGAAGATGCAAGGACCTGCATGGGATGGCGCGTGAAGCTGTTCAGCTTGGCTCGCTTTCCGGGGGCTTCCTTGCAGCTACAGAATTGGAACAGTCAAGCCCAGAGATGAGAACACGAGGTATACGAAGTTTCTGAGCAACAGACACAGAGAGACATGCTGGTGGCACTACGCTGGGTGGGTGAAGTACTGTAGCCTGACCTTCGAGGTGTCGGGCAGAAGGCGTGTGACGTCGCGCCTCTGCCACCACACTGCGGCACGCCCCCGACAATTTCGAAGTGGCCATCGTGGTCGTGCCTTCGTGTTTGAGTGTTCTAGCATACTGTGTTCTTTATCAGGTGGGTGTTTGATGAAAAGGAAAAGTGACAGCGACTATCGCCGAGTCCAAGCCTACAATGGATTGACCAGGAGTTCGCACAGCTTTCCGGATGCAAAGTCTGAGTGATATGACTGCATGATCTTGTCCGTTGCTGCGGCACATGTCAATTTCAAGCCGTCGACAAACCCACTCAGCAGTTGAATTATGATTCCCCTCCGTTTCAGTGCCAGGGCATCCCAGGTGCATGCTCTTCGTCTTGATCATTCCCTTGAGGCCGGTGCACGGGAGACCTGGACAAGCAGAGCCGCTCCCTCATTTACCTAAGCCTAAGCAGTCATTACAAGTAGTTCAAGAAGGATTCTCATGGCGCTTTTTGAAGCTGGGCATGGTGGCAAAGTTTCGTCGGTTCGACGCCATGGGGCATGTCCGAAAGCCTCGTTCAAAAACGTCTTCGGACTACTTACGCAAAACCTTGCACGCTGGTCGCCTGTGGGCTTGAAGTTCAGCTTGTGTTCGTCGCTGGGGTAGCAGGTCCACTGCATGTAGAAGGCATCCTTCAGCAGTTGCCCGCTCAAGAAGCTGATGCTCGGGAGAAGAAGATGGAGTGAGACTATGTGAGAATGCCAAACCAAGTGTCTGCATGTGGGTCTGACTCGATGATGCCGCGAAGACCACCCTTGGGAGGCACCAGGAACTCGTCGCAGTCCTCGGCTCCAGTACGAACCCCTGCTATGCGATGCTTCGCGTCCTTCGGACGACGGGACATATTTTGCCTGCATTGCCCGACGAGGTCCGCGAGGCAGGGACTTTGCCTGCCCAGTCAACTTCCAGTACGCTGCTCTTGCGGCGAGGCTGCACATCACAAGCGCCTTACGGCAGCTGCCGTGGGTTCCAAGATACTTCTTGCTTCCCGAGTTTGGGCTTTCGGAGGCATGCGTGTATCATGTGTCGACTCTCACAGCTTGGCAAACCGGGTTTGAATTCCGGCCGTTCCGAGCTGCAAGACTAAGAAAGGCAGAGGCAAGCGACTTCCTTCGAAAGTCGCCGTTTACATTTGGGGATCATGAGTATATCGTAATCGTCACTACACAGAACAATCGATAAGGACACTATTGAGAAGAAGGCAAACTCAGATAACTGCTGAATTCAGCAACGCGGGGTCTGGAGCAAAAAATGGCGCTTGCTGAAAGACGTCCAGCGGTCTAGTGTCTCTCTAGCTGACTCTAGCTTTGTCTACGAGACCTCGAGACGGATCCCTTAAGCCGTAGCCCCGTCAGTGGAGCTCTTGTCGGAAGAGTCGACTGTGGTGCCGAACACCCGCCGCCAACGCGGGAGAATGAAGACCCAGCAGCTGCCAAGTGCATAGACTGCCCCGCCTACCCAGCAGGAGAGGGGAGCCATCCAGCCAGTCCAGGAGCTGTTGAAGCCACGGCGGAAGAGGAGCGACATTCCCAAGATGCGACCTACCAGTGCTGTAAGCTTCAGAACCGAGAAGAGCCGCCCTTGTTGCTCAGAACCCATGTGCACGCTTGCAATTGCATCTAGTAGAGGGGTGTAGATGCCGTGGCCCATTGACAGAATCACTCGCCCTGTCCAGAACAAAATGCTGGGCACTACCAAGGGGTTCATCTGGCTCGCAAGCAGCACAGACACACCTTCCAAGATGCTTCCAATGCTGCACAGGAGTAGCGCCACTAGCAGGGTGTTCCAAGATCCGATCCGGGGCACAAGGAGCGCGTTCACGCGACTGCCTACAACGCCGAGAAGAGTGCTGGTGAAGCCCACCATTGACGCTGCAGCTTGCGAGTAGCCCAGGTAGGTCATCAAAAGCCAACGCCCAAGGTGTCCCATTGACCACTGCAGCTTGAGCACGAATATGAGTATCAGAACTTGCCGCAGCACCGGAACCCGCACGACGTCACGAACAAAACCTACCGTGTCACGCAGCGCGCCGCAACTGCGGCCTTTCCTTTGCTGGCCGTCCTTGGACCTGCATGTTTCCGGTTCTTGTTTGTTGGCTTCAGGGACGATCTGCAAGTCGACAACTTGCAGGGTCTTGGTCCTGGTGTCGTAGAGATGCTTGGTCTCGGAGAGAAGCAGCAGCGTCGCAAGGAACAAGAGCACATTTGCGAGCGCGCTGGCGACCCAAACCCACGAGTAGCTCTCCAGGCTTGCATGAAGGATCCAAAAGCCTCCTCCAAAGCCCAGGGGCCCCGCAAGGAACAAGGCTTGATTCATTACTGACAATGCCCAGTTTCGACGGTCAATCTGACTCTCCGAGAGATCTGCAGCCATGGCCATTATTGCCGGCTTGAAGACGTTGAGCGCGCAAGCGACAAAGGCAGCAGCGATATTGATCCAGTCTTGCGCAGACGTTCGGCCAACAAGAATGGATGAGCCGTACTGCATTAAGGCCCGAATCAGGGTCCCGATGAGGGCGACCAGCAGCATGGGCTTGCGACCCCAGGAGTCCACCATTGGGCCGAGGACAAACAGAGCCAAAACACTGCCGAATCCATCTGCCGCAGACAATGAGGACATCGTTTCACGTGCGGAGTTCAGAACTTGTTCTCGCACCATGCAGTGCGTGGAAAAGGACCACTCCGAGGAGCCAGGAGGATGCGCAACGCACGAGTCTCCCAGCTGTGCCGAGCCATCAGGGCAGGGTGGGACTGGATCGTCACAGGAAACTATGGACATTATGAAAGAACTCTCCAAATCAAAGAACAGAGCGCGGTTCAGGAAGATGAAGCAACAGCCCATACAGGCTGACTTGAAGAATAGCCATCGCGCGGTGCCATCGCGAAAGCTTGCCATGTCGGAACTGGAACTGGGACAGGGGGCGCTCGCGATTTTCAATCAGCCTGCTGTGTTGTCAGCGCAGAGGGCTATCTATCTCCCTCGAGCCAAAATGTGGCCATGACGGCACATGTGAACTTTCGTCTTTCTTGTTCTAGTGTCAGCCACAGTGACGACAAGGGCTGCCGATGGTCTAATTAAATTAGGAAAGCCGCCCCTATGCTAGAGCTCGGCAACAAACAACCGGCATGGCCTTCTGTAGCGTGCATCAGTCGGACACCATCCCGCGGACAGAACATCAATCGGAACTCTACCCCACATAATTACCCCACAACTCAAAGCAAGTGTCCACGTCCAACAGGTAATCTTCCTTCACCTCGGCCAAAGCTCTGCCAGCACAGTGCATTGGCTTTAGTGCATGATTTCTCGTTTAGTTTTCGCAGTCCGGTTGCGACATGGTAATTCAGGCGCTGCAGGTTCTGGACACGCGGTCCGCCATCCACGAAGGTCACCTCTGGAGGTTGGGCATGAAGGGGACTCAGGGTTTTGCTGGCGGAAAGTGGCTGCGGCGCCCGACCTGTTTGTCAGAGAAGCCGAAGTTTCTCACAGCAGCTCGGATGCTGGGCTCTTCGGATTTGGCTGTGCACCAGAGATACCTCTCGTTGAAGCAAAGCGAAAAATTCGAGTCACCACAGCACTGCACAAGGATGACTGCAGCCAGGCAACACCCGCTTGACCTTCACATCATGCAGGTAGTGCTTGAGGAAGTGCTTGAGAAAGGGAAGCTCCGCTTGGTAGACGCGGGTCGTCACTGCGAAGGTCGGGACTTTGGCCTCCTTCCCCTGCACGTCCTGTGGTGGCGGCCCACTGCGATGAAAGCCTTGCAAACCCGGGAGTCCTTCGCCCCAACATGCAGCAATGCGCGCGCTGCCTGCCTCAAGCTCGGAGGAGATCTGCTTTATTGTGTCTAAAGGGTTCAGGTCTGGGATCTGGGAGAACGTGGAATGCATTTTTTATTTCCAATACTTCGTGCTCGAATCACCTTTTCCCTGCTGATTCTTGTCAAGAGATAGCAATGCATCCGTGCATCCGTGCATGTGTGTATGTGTGACGCATGCATGTATTTGACATGATGCATGCATGTATGTACATGTAGGAGTCTACATGGAGTCTAGACTCTAAGACTCCATCGGCAGACCCTTTATGCAGCAAGGGGTTCTTCTGATGCTGTGTGGACCACATGAGGTTACTGAGGTGTTCACAGGCACTGCATCAAGGGAGACTGTACATTCCTGACAGTCAACACTTTCTACATGTTTCCTGCCACCCCAGGAGGAGTATACCACACATTCATGCCACCAGAGGTCGCTGCTATCCGTTCAAGCTTACTCTCTCCCATCCGTTGACCACAGTCCCTTCCCGCCCGTCTCCCAGGGTCCCAGAGCTCTAAAGGCTGATGACCCAATCAGGTCCGGCAAGTCACTCCTTTGCAGCTTTCTTCTGCTTCTTGCCTGCATTCCTGAGCATGCTGCTGGGGCTGCGCGCTCTGAAGCTACATGCGAGAAAAGTGTCGCGCATGTGATTGCTCAGGGCTGCCAATTCGTCCTCTTCCAGGGTGGAAGGCAAAACGGTGTTCTCTGTGATCCAGCCCGGCATAGGAGGCATAAGAGTTCACGGAAAGTAACCAAACTTAAGCCGGCATTGAAAGTGCTTTCATGGGCTTTCCCTTCCTTTCACATCGAGGCACGACCGCTGTGTGAACTTCACTTCATGGCCAACAGACTCGGGCTTCTTACAAGCACCTGGCGAGCAGCAGGACAGTCTCCCTGCATGCCCCAAGGAATCAACAAAGCAGTGGCTTCAGCCCTTTTTAGGTCCCTTCAACTCAGGCTGGGGCCATTGTAGGCCCGGAGCTTTGATGCTGACATCTTCTCCAGGAGCTTTGTCAAGGGATTCGGCTTGATCTGTCAGGGTAAAGACGACTGACTACTGGTTACACCATATGGTACTCGACACACTTTTAGGCGTGGTCAGGCCAGAGTCTTGGACGGAGCACGACTACCACAAGATTGAGGCAGAAAGAGCTGCGACCCTCTTAACGCAGCCAGCTGCAGCTTTCAGTGTCTTTCTCAGGCGAAGGGCATTGGCGCAGGTCTGCTTTGGGTTGCAAAGCAGCTTGTCGAAGGACATCTGCAAGGCCTCCTTGTATCCTGGGCTTCAATTCAAATCAGAACTCCTCGGGATGAGAAGTGTATGGCTTCAAGATGCTTCAAGCAACAAACTGCTACTTCCAAGCAGGGGGCTTCGATAGCCCTTCTCTGCCTGCATCTTCAGAACCTCGGCTGTCGACTGCAGCACAGCAAAGATGCAAGGACTCAAAGCCTGAATTTGTAATTCCACGAAGTCTAGCTAGAGTCTAGCTGAGTGCAGTTTACAGCCGCAGGTCGATGCTTCCCTCTTCGGGGAGGGGGGTCGGAAGAGTCGAGGCGCCCGATCCACGCCGGCATTGGCCAACGCCTTCGACTGGAAGGTACCATCGATGGAAAACTTCATCTGCCTTCCACACCGTGGGGCCGTGGGGTGTGAAGCTGGAGGTGGACCCGGGGCGGAATGCTCTAGTATGAAATGTTCAAAAACTCGAAAGCCCTAACAGCCCTCTTGAGCGCGAGCCCGTCACCAGTGATCCCTCTAACCAAGAAGCAGACACGAAGCACAGGGCCTCGGAGCCTTGAGCCCATGCTCAGACCTGGGCTGAGACTAGCGGGCATAATTGCAGAGTGATCTTAGGAATTTGCCGGGAGTACATGTGCGGGCTTTAGTTCTTCGTACTGCAGCATCTGGACAGCCGAGAAACAGGAGCTGCGTGCCAAATCGCTCGACGCAGACCATCCTCTCTGTCCGTGTTGCAGGGTCTGAGAGGCTTTGGGTCTCCTATCAAACATTTGAAGCTGCAAAGAGTTGTCATTTGCACCTACTGCTCCGGAGAAAGCTGAGCATATCATTTCGCGGCTGCTTTTCTGCTACTGCATCCACCCCAACTGAAGGAGCCTCGCTCCTTTTGCCACAAACCCTCAACTCGTCCACACGTGCACATTAAGAGTGCAAGCCCTCGGACAGTGAAGCCGACGCCGTTCCGCTGCTTTCTGATGGGCCCAGCCGCTCAAACGCCAAGGACTGCATTCGCTTTGGCGGTTGACCCTGCCTGGATTGTCAGGAGTTTCTTCGTCTGCTCTTCTTGCACAGATGTTGGACGGGGTTTTGCAATCGAGATAGGTCGCATGAGCGCACCAAGACGACCCTACCTTGAAAGTCTGAACGGACATCGCTGCAAACAATCTGTGCCTGATCTTCTGCATCGCGATGCTCTTTGGCTGGCCTTTGAGCCTAGATCGCTGAAGAAACTTCGCATTGCATATTTTGGTGAACCCCCGAAGGAGCACGGCATGGCAGTTACTCTGCCGCTCGGCAGGATGGCTGTGCTAGTGCAGGCCAGCAGCATCCATTGAGATCCAGCAGGTGAACTGACGTCCTGCATAACTGCATGACTAGTGAGCTGCTGCTAGCAAAAAACCTGATCCGGAAACTACAGCTAAGGCCGTTGAGCTGAGTCAGAAGCCAAACGTCTGCAGTCAACCTCTAAAAGAAGCCACTGTTGTGAGAGCATGCCAAGCTGCGCATGTTGGTTTGCAAGGCAGCACAGTCTGTTCCATGATAGTCCTTCAGCACGCTATCCCAGAAGCCACGGTACTGGAGATGAGCTAGCGGGATGACTTGCTTGGAGAAGACGCAAGGACCGGATTGACCTGATCCATCAGATGGGCTCTGCTGTTCATATTGACATATTGCTTGACTCTGCCGTTCTGGACACAAATGGAAACAAGCCCTCCGAAGATTTGGACCTCCGAGTGCTCACAACGTTTAATCTAGCAGTCTACCACCCCGTCAGCCCGTTGCACTCAACACGTAGTGACGGCTTTTGCTTGGAGCTTTGCGGCAATGCTGCGGGACAAGACTGAAGCGGATCTTCCGGTTTTTGTTGCTGAAGTGTTTTGGCGATGCAGGATTGATTTCCGGATTGTCTAGCTGCAGGTTGAGGCATGTAATCATCAAGATTGAGGCATGTCTGTCGCAAAGGACCTCTTCCACCACAAATCGGTGTGCCCTCCACAAACTGGTAGTGCCCGTTCTCGTCGTGCCTCAGCTGCAGGAAGATGCTCTTGGCTCACAGTGCCATGATTCATGATGGATCAAGCTGTTGCACGCACACCAGGCACATAAACATGTATCGAAACCTGCAGGGTCTGAATCATAGAGGTCACAAAATTTCCCTGTCCCAGGTGCAGGCTCTTCGTTCGGATCATCCCCTTATAGCCAGTGCAAGGGATACCTGGCTCATGGCCCAGCTCTGCTTTGGCCACTGTCGCCTTCTTTGGAACTGAACATGCTATTCCAGGCGGGGGGGGGTTGGAAATGAAGCGCTACCGGCAGCAGAAAGGCGACAAACGCACCAAGTCTCCAAAGACTGGTGCGATCACGCAACGCTGAAGGCCAAACCATGATTTCCTGCTGGATGGACACACTGTGTAGGAAAGACAACCCTGCCATCAACTAATATGCTTGCTAACGACATCCTACATAGAAATTCTCCAAGGCGACATCGAAATTGTCATCGCCCCTCAATTCAAAGTGGCGTCTCAGCCTGAAAATCTAGAATCGCCCCCCCCCCCCTGCCTTTGGGCTCGAAATCAAGCTCACGTGCGTCGCTGGGGTAGCAGGTCCACTGGAGGTTGAATGCATCCTTCGTGGTGCGCCAGATTTGATTTGAGAAACCGTCCTTTCTGCAGCAGCTGATTTGGAGCGTTCTTCTCTGAAAGTGTCCCGGGCTTGAATTCGGCGTGGGTGCGGTGCAACTGCAAACAAACCTTAAGCAACCCCATCTCCCTGCCTGTATTCTGGATTCAACCAACTATTACGCCGGTCTCCTACTCAACAATGATCACGTATACAGCTAGTACGTAGTTTTATAATATAGCCTGTCGGCTAGTCACAGAAATAACGGACGGAAGCTCGTAGCTAGGGCCAGTAAGAAAAATCGAGCGCAGCGCGAGCATCTGCATGTGGGTCTGACTCGATGATGCCGCGAAGACCACCCTTGGGAGGCACCAGGAACTCGTCACAGTCCTTGGGCAAAGCTTCTTTGCAGAGCTTTCCCGACATGTCAAAGGCTGTCACAAGCTTTGGGTTCCTAGCCGCGGACCCGAAACTAGGAACCACGAGCTTCATTCAACTAATATAGTACTGTTATTGTGCTGGGCCAAGCACATCAAAAGCTGCGGAATTGAAGGCAAGCGTCCACATCCAAGAGGAAGTCTTCCTGCACCTCGGTCGTTGAATTCCTTCCTAGGGCCCTTGATCTGCCTAGACCCTGTGTTGGAGCCTCTCCGCTCTCAAACCAGCCCAGTCGCAGCATGGTAGTTCAGCCGCTGCAGGCTTTGGTTGCGCTTGCCACGCACGAACGTCACCTCTGAAAGGCTGTAGTACTAGTCAGTGGAGCTAAGCACTGACCGGCACAAGTCGAATCTATCATAGACGACCGACCTGCCATGATACGTAAGCGATGGGAAAACTGCCCTGTCGTTGAAAAATTAGACACTGCGTTCTGGCTACCTTCATACAGTTATAGGCGAGTATATAATGCTCAACTAAGGCAAACAAACAGTCGCACACACACGAAAGAGTCTCTGAACCGACTGTGTTACATACGGTACATACCTGCTTAGGCGGAGCGGTGGCGTAATTACCCTGCCTGTTGCTCCGAGAAGCCAAAGCCTCGCACAGCACTTCGAATAGTGGTCTCTTCGGCATCGTCAGTACAGAAAAGATACCTTGGACACTTAAGGACATGCCCAAAACTGAGGTCACACGTCGAACAAATCTGGCTGCAGCCTGCAGACACCCGCTTGACCTGCAAGTCGTGCAAATAGTACTTCAGGAAGTGCTTCAGATAGGGAAGCTCTGCTGCGTAGACGCGGGTGGTCACTGCGAAGGTTGGACCGTCGGTGTGCGTGCCATGCGCATCCTGGCACTTCGAGTTTTACCTTATCCCTTTCGAATAAAGGCCTCTATACTCGTGACACGACCCTGAACAACTGTAGACATGGTGGGAACCTGATGATGACGCACGAGAGACGCAGTCTCTTCGGTCGGGGCAGCCGCACCCTTTGCCTCAGCAACAGTGCTCTCTGGCTTTGTTCCGTTTGGGTAGCGCACGGTTCAAAAGAAAAAACAAGACATGTGTACTATCATCTCATCATACACCTTCTAAAGCCAAGGACAAGAAGCTCTCAGAGCTTTGTCTTGAGTCTGAGCCTGCTTCGGGCCGCTGGCGTGCTTCAGGCCATGCTTTGGCAGGCGAGACCCGCCGGCAAGGATGTCACTGATGTTAAAGTCGGTATCCAGGTCTAGTCCCGGATTCGCCTTTCTGCTTTTCGCCTGAGGATCGAAGGCACGCGAGCTGAAAGCCCTGTGATACACCACTACAGCTCAAGCTTTGGATCCGAGGGTCCTGCAAAGCAGCCGAGAGGTTGGCTAAGTCACCGAATGATGGGAGCAGTAGTTCAACGGATCTACGAAGCAAGCAAACAGCTAACAGCAAAGTTAAGCGACCAGCCTTGGCCTGGTGCACCTCCCGTGCTTTCGCTTTCGTCGAAGCGCTCTTGCTCTTGATCTTCAAGAGTTCCTCAAGGAGCACAGATCCCTCGTCGACTCCGTCTCCGAAGGGAACGAGGGCTTGGGGGCCCTACGACCCTTCACAGGAGAAACGAAAGGTCATGACTCAGAATCGCCGAGCTTCGAATCTTTTCCTCTTACCCTTGTTGTGCTTGGCCTTTGCTAGCGCTTTACCTTTGCCTGGATGCTTCAGGATCTCGAGTTGGCAGGTGGCATCCTGCAAGGAAGGGACACTCTGGTCTTGGGTCTAGCTTTCTCAAACTTTGCTTTCATCTCGGAATGAGTGCATAAAAGGGAAAACGACAGCTCGAGGTCGGTGCATGCACTCGGTCTGAGCACAAACCTCTGCGAGATGCCTACAGGGCCTACAGTAGCAATACAAGTTTCCACTTGCATTGTCCCGGCCCTTAATATATAATATAGTATAGTATATATAGTATAGTATAGTACAGTATAGTATAGTAGTATAATATAGCATCTTAAAATATAACATAGTATATTATAATATCATATGATATGATCTAATATGCGTGACGCATCCTCGGTGTCCACCACTTCTGCCCAGGCAGAGCCCAAGGCACCCAGCAGTAGGAAAAGGCAAAGCTTGCGCCAACTGCCCATGGCGCATTAAAAGGGCACCCAAGCACCTCTGTGGATATCAGGTTCGGTGCCGTGGGCTAGGGCCACGTGCGGCTGAGGACGGGCGAGCGATGACGGACACTTCCTCACTGCATGTCCCATACCACACTTTTGGCCTGTTCTCGCGATTGTTGATTCTGATTAACAAACAACGACGATCCGCAGAATGTCTCGGGACTTTCTTAGTTCAGGGGAGTGGCAACTCGACAAAGACACCGTGGGCCAACTACTTAGATGAGATCACCTCGCCTCTGAAAGTCAAGCTTCACGACTGCCCGACAACAGAGTAACGCCAGCCCCGCACGTAGGTTGAAATCGAAAGGCAGGTGCTGGAAGTCAGAACCCAAAGGAGACAAGCAGGAACCCAAAGGAGAGAAATTGCTGCTAATTTATGCAGACACCTGTACAACTCGAGTTTGGGTTAATCTGGGAACCTCTGAACTAAGCATTCATATGTAAGAACGGAAGTGCAGCAACTGTTCATACGCGGATAAACATGGGCATATAGCAACGCAGCCGCACGTTTGTAATGACCGAGCAGGGTGTTTTTAGCAGTGCAGACGCCAAGGAGTAGAGGGGTTACAGTTTTCAGCCGCTGAAGCCACGTGGCCGTTACCCGTGTGTATCCACGAGCACTGACAATGACGATGCGCAGCTGTAAGGCGGCCTTCCCTGCGCAGAGTCTGCAGCTTCCGCTCGAAGGCAGCCGCACGGCGGGCCGCCGCTGCAAGTCCGCGGAAGACCAAATGGTGCGAGACCTGCGGTCAACGACAGCGGGTACGGGCTGGCTCAAGTCTGGATGGCATCGAAAATTCGCAAGTCCAGAGTTGTCGGTTACCAATATCTTCTGGATCGCAAGGAAAATTGCTGTGACCCGCCTCAGCGACGTCACCGCAGGCCTCCTCTGCATCGGCCTCTGCCTCTTTGGTAGCCTTGCACAACAGCCACCAAGGACTCTCATGGATGCACCAACCCAAACCCTAAACCCTCGCATCCGGCATTACAGCAAGGGCCCTGGGGTTTACATGCTCCCCTGACATACAGCATCCATCCGTCCATCTCCGTCCTTCCATTCGTCCATCCCTCCATCCATCCATCCCGCCGTCCGTCCATGCATCCGTCCGTCCGTCTGTCCATCCCTCCATCCCTGCATCCATCCATCCATCCCTCCATCCATCTGTCGATCTGACTATGTACCACCTGCCTCGAACAGATTCCTCACAAACAGCCCATCGAAGGCTCTTGGGCGCATGCTCTTTCTATCTGTGTAGTGAGTGTATGTATATATATATAATATACCAAACTGTGTTCATGAAAATTCGTGAAGCTATTTCCATGAAAACTTAGGCCCCTGGATGCATGGATGATCCACACCAGCTTTCTCACTCTCGCTGATTGGCTCCAGAGCTTCATGCAGTTTGTGTAGCCCTGCACCTCCGCCACATCCTCTTGCAGCTTTCCCCAAACCTGCGCCAAGTCCTGCGGCAATGTCGGTACAGCCAATTTTTTTACGAACAAGATCAGCACCCCTACTTGCACTAGAAAGCATCCATCTGTATGATCTGATCCGGAACTCGTTCTCGCATGATTGGCTTGTGAAGGAGCCCTTGCATGCGGTGTTTGCTGTGCAAGCCATGACGGCTGGTAGAATCATGAAGGCCTCCCGTTTCAAGTCTTCCTGTTGGACATGCCAGTCGGCTCCTCCCAGGCGGCTGCACCCGCACCGCCTTCCTCGCGTGCAGCCTGGATGGCCGCCTCAGGGTCGGCTTGGCTTTAGTCGGATCCGGCGGAGGCACCCCTATGTATGCACCCTGGATCCCACGGAATCCCACAATGACAGTCTTTCCTACAGGCACGGCATTACTACAACTCAAACCCGCTCCGCCTCGCAGGCTGCGCGCTGCTCTGCCGTGGCCTCCGAGAGGCCTCGCAGTGCGGCTCCGTCCCGTAGCGCATGGCCTGAAACGCTGAAACAAGGATTGGATGGGTCCTTTGACCCGATGATGACCTCGCACACGATTCTGCGGCGTGACAAAGCTGCAAGTGCTCGACAATCCGGGCATACGATTTTGCAAGCTCATGTCGTCACATCCATCAGAGAAAACCGTCCCGTGCTATCACAACGGCTCCGAGCCGAACACCATCACCCCCCGTCATCACGGCCATCCTCTGGCTATTTTTGGAATTTTGAGAACTTCTTATAAGAACCTGGCAGCGAGCCATGATAAGAGCCCTGACGCCTTCTTTCAGCCCTTTGTGAACGCTTGCGAGAGCCCTTAAAGAATCCTTCTACTGGAATCCTGAACAGAGCGCCTGCCAAGAAGCCTTATAGTTTCGCTCATAGAAGCCAGTTCCTTTTTTTGGCATCCAGGACTCTCGCAACCAGCCGGGAAACTCCACAAGACAGCAAGTCAACCCTCCAGCAGCACTCGTGGCTACTGAATGTTCGAGCATACTCGATTCACTAGTTCAGTCGAAGCAATATCAGAAAGCAAAACTGTCTCGAAGGACGTGAATAAATCAGACTGCAAGGAAGTGAAGCTATGAACATTTGCCCCATACACCTCAAGTGTAAGGCTGACAACGAAGACGAGTGCCGAGCAGCTCATTCGGACATACCCTAAACCCTAAACCCCAATTCACGGATCTTTGGGCTCCGGACCGAGCGCGGTGGCTCCGGAGGCCTCGGTGCGCCGACGGCGCATGGCCTCATCACTTCTGCGCTCACATTCGGGCTCTCCAAACGAAGGAAATGACGATTGAGCCTGCTGATCTGAAAGTCGAAGCCGAAATGAAAAAATGAAATCAGCTCAGAGCCCTTTATGCCATTCAGTGTTCCATTCAAAGCACATTCATTGTAGGCATCGGCCATCAACATCTACCCCCAGTCGGGCAAAGAGGGTTCGGGTGTAGCAATGTTCGGCCCAGAGTGATCTGGGCTGAAAGGCGGGATGGGAACACATTGACTGGACTAATCCCTCCTCTCCAGCGTATGCCGAGCTGTCGGTGAAACTGGTGTACGCATCGTGAAACGGACAACCACGAGTTGGGCACATCGCACATCCATTTCCTATATGTTTGTGGTTATGTTGTTCACCAAACTTCGCGTACGGAAAGGTTTGCTGCTTGCCTGTGCATGCCTCTGTACACTGTACACGAGCGTGACATCCTGCGCATCTCTACAGACGATACACCGAAAACTAGGCCACTAGGGAGAATGTCTGGATTCTGCCAATCGCTTGGCATCCTGGTAGATGGCATCGAGGTCTGGGGAGCCCATGGCACACCTCATGTGGCTCATGTACATCGTGGTGTGCTCAACCTCCCAGCCTTCAGGGGTTGTTGTCTTCGCCAGGATCTCATCCATCTTCGTGCCTTCGCGGCTGAGGCTTGGCAGAGGGAGGCCTCGAGTCTGTAGCAGGCCTTCTGTCTCCTCCCAGCGAGTGGTGACCTTGGAAGACACATGCCTGCGGATGGGGTATTCGCTAAAGTCTCGCAGTGCGACCACATAGTCTAAATCCGTGCTCACATATCCCAGGCTGACCTTGCAACCACCGTCCCCTCCAGGCAGATCGAACTTGCCACTCAAGTGGAAGACTGCCAGAGGAACCTTTGGCTTCGGACGCTGAAAGCCGAAGTGCAACCAGTCGCTTCTCGGGCGTGGCTCACAGGTGTTGGAAACCTCCCAGCCGGCAACGCCCATGGCCACGAGAGCTGGTGATTCCTCCCCCACTACCTTCAAACCACCTGCAAACAGTTCTGGCAGCTGTTGGGACATCGCCGGGGGAAACGCAAGTATGCGCTTGGTCAACTCGAAGCTTTCGTTGCCGCGCATGGCCTCGAAGCTTTCTGACAAGCTCCGCACTACGAGCTGAGGCGTAGGCCTGTGGCGGTCCAGCCAAGAAGTCTCTTTCCGTGACTCCGGTGTTGGCATGCTTGTGTAAACCTCAACTGTTCTGAATGGTAACCAGTAAGTAATGTGGCAACTCCCCAGGTCTCTCCTAGCCCGAAGGAAGCAGTTGCAAAGATCCTCGTCCCTTTCGAGGAGCTTCTCCAATGAGATCTTCTTCAGCTCCTCAAGGATCCAGAAGCCCTCGCCTGCTTGCAGGCATTGCGGCCACAATTTCTTCAGACCCCGGCAGCAACGTAGAGCCCTCAAAGCTGCAGGGCCACTGAGCACTGGGACAATGCGCGGCAACCACTCGGAAGAAAAATTCGCGATCGTCGGCATGGGAACCGAAAGCACGGCTGAGCAAACAAGCCTTGAGCCAGAATGGCCACGGAATCGGTAGGAGTTACCCAGGGCCGACGTAATCCACGAGATCTGAGCCGAAAGGTAGCCACAAGGTGCAGTTCCACCGGCTCCGGCCATGATAGATGACGAGGAAGGCAAGCTTTCGAAAATCGACCGAGAGTCCAGAGCTCGCAACTCGCCTTCTTGCCGTTTGTGAAATTTTACACCTCGCTTAGCAATGTACTGACGAACCCTCTCAGATTGTTCCCTCTTGACTCTGTGAAGCGCACCCTACATGTAATCCCGGTGCAGATCCCGTAAGTGTTCCAAGTACCGACATACTATTAGGGTAGGTTTTAGTCCTAACAACCATGCTTTCCATGACTTACTTTCTGATACTTAAACTCGACCACTAGGGTAGTCTGAACCCCTTGTGGTCTCAACTGCATCGTCCGGAATTAGGCTCCGGCTGCCTTCTGCTTCGCAAGCTCCTGCGCCACAGGAACACGACGGCGAGACGCTTCCGAGGGAGTTCATGACAAGCGAGTACGAAATCATATTAGGGTAAACCACGGTCAAGAAACTATCGTAAGAGAAGAGCTTGAAAACTGTCATATAACGGCACCGTGAGGCAACGTTGGTCTAGTTGAGTTCCCCGCCTTCAATCTGGCGTGTTCTGAATATCATGATGATGCAGGTTTGTCTGGGCAAATGACTTCTGACCAGGCAAGGCGACAGGTCCAGCTATTCATGGTAACCGAAAGACTGTGAGAAGTTCTGCACAAAGGTCCTCATCGAAGGTCGCGATGCGTCGAGCAGCCTGCGGTTGCCGGGCTAGGCAGCGTTACAGGACATTGAGATCACATCTCAGGTTCCGATCCGGTCTGATCCGCGACACCCATGCGGCAAGCTCGAGCCACCAGAAGAAAGGATCCACAGCGAAGTTCAAGAACAGCCATAATCCATAAAAGGCCCATCAAGACTTGTCGTCGTGGCAGGATCAATACTCTCCCGGAAAGCGAGCCTAGGAAGCAGGAGCAGGGGATTCGAAGATTCTACTGGACATGGGGACCGGGGATACCCTGCAAGGCACCACCCAAACACATATATTCGGTCCAGTCATTTTTCTGTGACGCTTTGACCACGTAGAGCCGAGAGCAGAATGTCATGGGGAGCAGATCTGCATGGCTACACCACAGAGGCCGAGTATGCTCCTAAATGTCTGTTTGCTCAGTTAGGTCTGGAATTAGCGAGGGCCATATACACATGGCGCCAGACTCCCTCTTCACGGGTTGGGTAGCCAGAAACAGGCTAACTAGACTCACATGTTGTTCATCACAACTTGAAGATTGGAAGTGAAACGTGGCCCACTGTGCAGACAAAGCATTCGGTATCTTGTGACTCTATGACTATGTCAGAATAATTAGGTCGTGGGTCGCGTTGCACCTGACATGTACATTGCCGCTCCGGCTTACCGTTTGTGCCCGTACTTTAATTTCTTCCCAAGAAGCTTTGGAGTCCACGGCACTTAGCTGCGAGATCATGGCAGCTGTATCTTGCTCCCTCCGCACGAGGCAAGCAGCAGCAGCAAGAACAAGACTGAAAGATTGTACTATCCAGTTCAACTGGAGCTGCTCTGCCCGAGGTTCTTTTGCCCAAGGCCACTGTCCGATCCAAGATCTTTCAGAACCTTGTCCATGAACTTCTGTGTGACATTGGTGTAATTTGTGGCATGGCTACCTGACGTCCAGGACACGCAGCAGAAAGCACACACATCCTCTCGGCGCAGAATGTAATTCAACTATAGCCTGCTTGCCGAGTCTGACTTCTCGCTTACTTTTCAGGCTTGGTCATGTATTGGAAAGCCAGAGACCCCAGCATGATTAGGCTCACTGTCGGCCGCAGATACGTGGTGTTGAGCTTGTTGTCTCCACTTCCAACTGCAAACTCTGAGCTCTGTGTTTCGTGGCAAACCCCTTTGTGCCAAGGTGCGGAAGACCTTAAAATTCTGGTGCACGTCTGCCTGTGAAAGTGGCTGTCCTTCTGACGGGTTGAAGAACATTCGGTCGAAGTCCTGCCAAGTGGACGGACCATTTGCTCAAACCCTGGCATGGACAGAAGAATCTATTTTAATTTTCCTCTCAGAAATGCACAGCACCGACTTGGAATTCAAATTCAGCATGCGCAACAACTGCATCCCTTGAACAGAACCGAGCAACGAGACACACCCTTTCTGCATGCGAAGGTGGGCCGGAATAGACTTGTCTGGGCGGTGCAGGGGTCCTTCTCCAACATCTCGTGTAAACAATCCGTGTTCTTTTCCAAGTCCTTCTGCAAGAACTCGAAAAGGTTCTTTTCCTGTGGCGCAACTTCCAGAGTCGCGCGTGGGAAGGTTACACAAACGATGCTCTCCGAAGACTCCGAGGCTATGCGCTGAGATCTCCTCAAAGTGGGGTCCAAATTTGAGGATTCCTCGTGGCTTCATCCTATATAAGCCTATATAGGCCCTATACACCTGAAGGGAGATTTCTGTCCCTTTGCTCCGCACTCTCTGCCAGGCTAGTCCCAGCGGCCAGCATCACTGCAATTGGAGACTGTGGCGAAGAAGCGTGTTGAGACTTTTTGGTTGCTTGGCAAAGTTACCATGCACAAGACTACTGCGAGATTTCTACGCTTCTTGAAGCACCCAACAAGTTCCAACATCCGAAGATGAGTACTTCGGCTGCACAGGGACAGACACATGCATGCATGTGTTTACGTATGTGCGTATATATGTATGCATTTGCCAATGGGTTGCTGGATGTATATGTGCATGCCATGCATGCTTATTTCTCATACATCTGCCTCCATCCTATCTCTCTCTCTCTGCATGTATAGATATATATATATATGTATATATACTCACACATACACAGACACACGCACACACATACAGACGTACACACAAACACACATATATACCTACCTACCTACCGACCGACCGACCTACCTACCTACGTGTATGTCTGTGCAATCATGCAACATGCAGGCTGCCAATGCCAGAAAAAGGAGAAAAGCATGCCTACCGACTCAGTATGTAAGAGGTTAGGGTCTCGCGCCAAGGGATGCCAAGACCACGAATCCGAACCTTAAGTTGAAGCCACCAACACATGACCTGTAAGAAGCAAAGGTGCACTAGAATCATCCAGGTAGTAGCCGTAGACGTATGTCCACCTGAGCTCCGAAGTCTCTATACGGCTGCAAGCCTTGGTTACGTGAACCTTGGCTTCGCATGTTCTGTGGGTCCCGCTGTCGAACAATCTTGATACTCCTCACCCGCACAGCACAAGCCTGCTACGAAGGTTGCACCATAATTCATCACGACATCACGATCCTGGATTGTGGCCCCTAAGGCCCTAAGACTTGCCTCTTCAACCCTTACCCTGAGCCTTGAGCCCTAAGCGAAGACAGCGCCAAGCCAAAAGCAGAGATCAGATCTCCCGCAAAGGCTGCAGTGGGAGTCCCCAGCCGAGTGGCTTGAGGACGCGCCGGCAGGCTCTCACTTGCCGAAGGGCCTCGCTTCAAGGCTTCCAACCCTCACTGGGCTGCAGGCCAAGCGCAGGAGGTGAAGCATTGCTCTTTGGAAGCCAAAAGACATCGTAGAGAAACTGGAGCTCAATGATCTCGAAGCCATGGTCATCGTGAAGCTTCTGCACTTTCCCCTCGATGTCCTGGTGCAAATCTCAACTCGTTGTCCCACAGACGTCCCTGCGACGGATCGGCTCAGATGCGGCATGCCCTCAGCTTAGGCCTGGGAATTGAAATCAGGCCCTGACCTGACCTCTACGTGGCGGATCGGTCCTGCTCTTCGGTTACTGTGAGCTTCATGCCACGGTCGTGGTCCATAAATCGCTCGAAATAGAACCTACAAGCGAGCAGCGTGAGGCTTTTAGAAGCCTCCTGCTACCTAGACATATCTGACACATCCGAAAAACACAAAACATATTTCTGACTCCACGAAATCTTGTTTACCAACGTACTCTCTGAAGTGTTGCTTACACTCCGCAGAATGTACAGAGCAATTTGAAACTCTTATTCTTCTTCAGCTTGCAGCAGAACTCTCTCAGGCCTGACGAACAGAACTTCGATGCATCTTTGGCTTGGGTTAGGGCAGGGGTCTTCCTGGCATATGTCTCGATGGCTCGCCGCCAGGCAGCATGTACTTGTCGAGGGCGTGCTTCGCTTTCAGCCTGGACCGCTCCTGAAGTTCCAAAACCACGGCATCTCGGCTTCGACCTTGTTCTAATGAGTTTCGGGTTTCGGGTATAGTAGTACAGGTGGAGTCTCCTGCCTACATTTGCAGATTACAGAGTTTTACACATCATGAGATCCGGCAGTGCACTTGAAGGTCCTCGTCAGCGTGCTTTCCCTCCTTTGACTGCTTGTCGTAGATGTTGCACTGGTAATACCTCGGGCCGAAATTGACGACCCGATTGGGTTGCAAAAGCCCAGCAGTAGCACAGCTCGTCGACGAACATCTTTAAGACTTTAAGAACGACTCTTTCAAGATCCCATGTTCATTTCCTTTTGGGTAACTGCTGGTTGCCAGACAGAAGAACCCCTTTCATCTTTCATCATCGGATCGCGGGCATATCATTCGCTGGCGTCTGCAAGCAATCGGTGGGCCGGACCACGCAGCTCTGATGTCCCTGAAAACTCAGTCAGTGTTCAATTGGAAGCAGCCCTCGACCTAAAAGCGAATTTCACAACATCCGCCCAAGAAAGAGGCGAGCACCTACGCAGCAAAAACATCAAGGGTAAGCTTGGACCACGAGACCCTCCGGTAGATGTGCCGTGAGTAGACCAATCGCCCAGGCAGAGCCAGCAGAATTCATGGCCACAGCCGCCCGCCTGTGCAGTTTCCCCTGGGGATCGCTTTAAACAGTTTGGGGAGTCCACAAGGCCCTAGGCTTCGACTGAAAGCAGCGTCCCCTCAATGGTGTTAAACCGAGTCTGAT